TCGGTATTCTATTTCCGTACAAACAGTTTCATGGTATAATTCGAGGGAACACTGATGGTAAGCAAGACGGTGCTATGGCAACAATATGAATGTGACTGCATCAATACTTCGATGATCTGCGCGAAGCCCAAGTTGTTGGTCGCACGTGTTGTGCTATCTCCGTGGAATAACAGACATTAACAGCTTTGATGCTATTGGGATAAGGTTTATATCCATGTGGTCGGCACAATCAGGTATGTGCGGAGAACCCTTGCCAAGTTGCAAACCTACCATATACTCGGTCAGTGCCGTCGGTAGTCCTCGATCGTTTGTTTATTCAATGAGTATAGTCCAACTTTATTCACGAATCGCAACCCATTGATGGTCGTTCTGCCCGTAATCTGGGAACGCGCTCGGTAGCATGCCAAGTGGATATAATTCAGCAAACTAAATTATTGCTCAAACTGGGATGAACATGTCATCCATTGACTTTGGGGTACTCGAACTTACCCAGAATGCCATGCATGAATTCAAACCGCAGAACATGGTGCACAGAGTGCGACACCATTTCCCAGGCTGAGTTTATGTATGTATTTGAAATCTGATGACTTCTTGAATAGGTTTTCATTGTGTACTTACATTTTCATGTTCCTCGATTGTCCGATTTCGGGACTAGATGGACAAGGATCACTCGTGAATTCTTTAGGAATATTCCGTTGACGCATTCGCTCGCCCCATTGTTGTTTTCCTTAGACTTCTTCCAAACTGGAAGCTGAGGAGAATAACATTTTTTACATCTGGCTCGTCCACTAACGTTACTCGAACTAACTTGGGTTCTCCGGTATGAAGCGAGGTCCGCTGGTGCAGAAATGAAAGAATCGCAGATTGAAGGATAACCCCCATGTAGACAGCCCATTCCACTGTTTAGGGTCTTTCTCTTCCTCCGCAGCGATTGTTCTGTGGGTTCCAGTAGATTTTTCGTGACTTTCTATGCAGTGTTACACAATTCTTTCCTTTGTACCAACAAGAGCTCTTGTGTAGCAGGCACAAATATTGGTGATGGCAGTATATACGACTACAAGGTTGCGAGTGCACCCGCGGTTCTTTTTGATTTGAGTTCAGTCATATTCTTCCGTTACCATATTGTATCCTCGTTCTTTGATCAATTAGATCGTTTCGTCGGCCTGGGGATTGAATATCCTGGTGCGCTACGAAAACTCAACGACTGCTGCTAACTTCTGCTTCGTGGTATGCTTTGAATTATAGGAATTTCCGTTCTGTCCAGAAAGATAGATATTGCGGATATGTAGCTACCAACAGAAAGAGTGAGTGTATGTGATGAAAGTATATATATATATATATATACTGAGTCGTAGAATTTTCATCGTAACGTTTTGATTCCAACCGGGACTCGTTGTCAAGCGTAAATGAAACGAGTGAGATAATGGGATCCCTGTCTTTTCTTGAGGATGTGTGCTAATGGTGTCATACATAGTCACGGTTTTTGCGAGTATGACTTGGTGTTTGTCTATCTTGATGTGTATGTATATCTTTCATATATATCGTAATGAGTATATTGTTTAGCATCAATTATGGATTCAAACAAATGAGGTTAATTTTCTTTTCTTCTTCAGAAACGTGCCACGGAAGGGATGTCCGAAGCGACTTCTGTCACGGCCGATCTTCATTCGACTGCCCTCACACGCACAGTCGTGACAAATGCTACCACCATTTTGGCTCATCGTGCATCTGCTTCGTTCACCGTGCACAAAGATCTGACCACGGCCAGCACGGCTACGGAACTGAATACACATCCAAATATTCTGGATGCACCGAAACCTACCACGGTCTTTCATTCCCATCCCACGTTAAATCCTTTATTGACATCCACATCTCCGGAAACGGTCACCAGTGAGGAGAAACTACGAACGGTGATCGAGCGACCTCCTTCGGGTACAGCTGCCGGTGAGCGACCGGAAAGCACTGGCACACCAGATGCTCTTAGTGACCTTCAAGATGACACAGTACCAGAAGCGTGTCAGAAAATTCCGTTAGAGAAAGAAAGCCGTTTGTCAGACGAAGTTGAAACTAAGAATGCTGTTGATCCACCCGATCATGAACAAGTGTCTACGGTTCCCGATCCACCTCAAACGGGTAAACAAGATCCAATTAATATAACCACTGATCTCAAAGTTACGGACTCTGATGACAAGCTGCTCAGTTCATTGGCTCCTAAACATGACTCTAAGGTTGTTTTCAAGGACCCAACAGATTGCTCGAAGCCAGAGAGTCACTTTGGAACTATTGCAAAAGAACGTATGTCGTCAGTTCCGAGGGAAAAAGAAACCCTCGCCGATCTTCCTCCTACTCCGACATCCACAATGGCCCCGACAACTTTTGCCAGCTCTTCTTTCCAGAGTGTCCATGAAGAGGAAGATGAAGAAGCCTCATGTGTCGTTCGTCAGCGAACTGTTTCGCCATTGCGGACCGATGATCCTTCCATATCAAGATCCACCGAACTGAACGCGCACACGGTTACTACATTGGCCAGTGGTATCGTTTCGAATAGCACCACCGAAGCCTCCACTCAGAGTCTGCAGTATCGAGCTGTGAGTGTGTGTGCGGCCGGAGTAGCAGTCGCCTTGTTTTTGGTCGTGATGCGTCGATTANTGCTTCAGGAATATGATGGAAAAACGCATGCACACTTGTGACTCCTGTGTTTGCCTGAAGCATTCCAGCCACAGGCATCCTCTGTACCATAAGGTTGGAATTGGTTTTCGGATTCTGTGCCTTCCAGACACCGCGCCGTTTTTATCCGTCTAACAGCATTGGGCTTTCTTTCACGGTTCATCATCCGACCCAACACATGTAATCCCAAAAGGTTCCACCGCTGAACCAGATCCCGTGGACTTGTGTGCTCATCCCGATCCGTCACCATTCGGCATTGTGATGATACTTTATTTTGTTTGATCTCGTCTGTTATTGCTTTCACACTTTACATTTGGAAAAGTCCGAATTTTGCATAGAATCTGCTTCCCCCCGCTCACAGTCTCTCACTTTCCCAGCCCCATGTGCCTGTTGCGTAAAAACCAGTGTGATGCAACCGGCAATATTGCACTGAATCAACTCTATCTTTTTCCAATGGTTTCATCCAGTTGAGAAAATTAAACACCATCCCACAAGGGCATTCTTATACGGTCTTGTTCAGTCTCACCAATGATCGATTTTCAAGCACCTACTGGTCATCGGATATTGATTCTTCTAATTAAGGTTATGGCAAAATCCACAAGTCCTCGACCTGTGTTTTTTTTAAATCCTATTTTCCTTAAGGTGACTATCCGTAAACTCATACTTCTCCCAATGGTTCACCGGCTGCTTTCATCTTCCACAC